GCCCCCCACCCCCGCAGGAGGGACTTTTACAAGATCCTGGGGGTGTCCCGCGGCGCCTCCATCAAGGACATCAAGAAGGCCTACAGGAAACTGGCGCTGCAGCTGCATCCCGACAGGAACCCTGATGACCCCCGGGCGCAGGAGAAGTTCCAGGATTTGGGAGCTGCCTACGAGGTGAGGCCGGGGGCTGCGGGTCCCCCCCGCCCTGTGGCGAGGCCTGGGGCAGTTGCTGGGGGAGGAGGGGGGAAAGCTGGGCAACCTGGTGTAAGGAGCTTGAGAGATCCTTGGGTGTTCCCAGCTCTTCCCAGGCTGGAAGGTGGATGGGGCTGTGGTAAGACATGCTCGGAGCATGAAGCTGAGTGAAGGAAGCTAGTGAGGCTTCATCCTGTAATGCTCAGGGGAATGAGAAAGGAGGGCTTCTGGGAGATGTAAAAGCCCTTCTGTAAGGTACAGGTGCAATCCATCCTGAATTGCAATCCGTAGTGAATTTCAGGTGTTCTACCAAATAAAAAAAAAAAAATAAATAAAAGGTAGAGAAGCTGCCGGGTTGATTAGAGAGCTCCTTCTGTCAGAGGAGAATAGAAGTGCTCAGCTCACTTAACCAGGAGAAAGTGAAGGCAGCAAGCTGGAGTTCTTTGCTATTTATTAGGAGCTCTTTGAGGAGGAAAGAGAGTTGCATCACGTGTAGGCATTGGCACGGGAACAAGTGTGGGGAGGTATGGGGCCTGGCTGTGAGGACCCCTGAGCTGGCAGGAGCTGAGAGGTGGTTGGCTTGCCTTTTAGAAGACATTAAGGTGGGAAAAATAATTGTGGGTCACGTGCATGTGAGAATTTTCGTTGTTTCTATGGTAATATGGTAACATAGCAATGACAGCTGACACTGGTAGCACTGTGCAGTGTGTCAGTCACATGTAGATTATTTTAAGTCAAAGCCACACATACACATGTTAATGCAATCCAGGCAGCACGATGGGATTTCTTGCACATTCTCTGTCCTTTGTGTCTCCTTTCTGCCACTTTTGGTTCTCATCTGTGAAGCAGAGGGCCCCCAAGGAAGGTGGTATTGAGCAGGGAGAATTCCCAGCGGTGGTTCCAGCAGGAGCTGGCCTGCACTGGTCGGCTCTGTGGGTGGGAGGCTTGTGTCCTCTCTGAGGAGTCAAGGTGCAGAAGGAAAGGGTTTGCATGGCTGCTGCGACCCGGTGGCACTGCTTAGCCCACAGCGGTAGCGTGGCTTCTGCTTCTGTGCCTGGTGCTCCTCTGCTCTTCAGATATGCAAAGGTAAAATGAATGAGAGAAACAGCTTGGATGCATTCCTCTTTGGTCAGAAAGAAAACAGGATAACTCTATTTTTGTATCAGATCTGGGATGACTTTTTAGTTCAGGCTTATCTATTCTTAAATAAATTGGCTGAGCTGTCACAGAGAAACCAGTGAATGTGAAGAATTTTTTTTGTGGAAAAAATTGTTTGTTACCTGTCAGCTGCAGCATCTGAAGGTTGATGCATGCGGTTTACCTAAAAGCTATGAGCTTGGTGTCGTTCGTGTGAGTCGGGATCTTGTCAGATTTGACAGGAAGACTCTTCCCGGGTCCCTGCCTCTTCCCAAGTCCCAGTTTGTTTCAGTCTTTGCCACAGTGACAGCTGACGGTACTCTTTCTATTAAAACATTGGGTAGAAAATGGTTGTTAAATTAAATCAGCAGGGCATGTGGCGGCAGGAGTAGCTGGATATTAACTTTTAGAAGCAGTGGCTGAGTCTGCCTCCCCCTCAGCAGTGTATTTTTGAGGCACAGGCGTGTCCTTGTGCAACATGAAGTGGGGAGTTCTAGTGCTGACAGACAATACGGATGCAACGTGCTCTCACTGGGTTCTGGTGAAAATTAAACTAGGAAACTTCCCTTCCAACCCTTTGTTTGTGTGCTTCTTGCAGGAGAGAGATGCATCAGAATACTGAAATCCAGCATGATTTTTAAAACAGGTTTGGAAGGAGTGACATTTTGATGTCCTATAAGGTCTTGGTCTCACTGTTTAGCCCGTACAGCTTGCAAATCCTTCCACGAAACTATTTGCGAGGTGCAGCGTGTTGGTCTGTTGTTCTGGGCAAAAGAGAGCTGGAATTATATTTCCCTTATAACCTCAACCAGGATGCTTTTTGCCATGAAGCACCAGCCTTGGTTAGTAGCACCGCTGCTCGGGGTTTCTCTGGCTGACTGTCTCTAGCCAAGGCTTCAGGAAAACTGTGGGGAAAGTAGGTTAATTAAACTACTCAGTCTCCTTCCTTTAAAAAACCCAAGTGATTTCCAGCCTGAAGCTGTGTAATCTGAAGACAGTTGTTTCAATTAGAAAGGAGACTGATTGCATGTGGGGGAGCTGAGACTCCTCCCTGTAGTCCTTATTCTCAGGATGGTTTGGGGGTGGAGGTGCCGTGGGCTGGTTTTTTTCTAAGCTTATCCCCTGTAGTTGCTTTGCTTTCAAAGCATCCTGACATAACAAACCACAAGTCTCTTCACAGTACTTGACATGGTGTTATTGGAGTTGTGTTCTCCAGTGGGCTGCAGAAAGAAGGGAAATTAAGGGAAAGGCAAATATTTTGTGTTCTCAGTTCCTTTCTTGTTGCTTGTGGTGTCATCAGAACTCTGCCGGAAGAATTTTGCTTTGACACCAACAGATCACAAAATGGAAAGCTTATCCTGGTTTCAGGAAATGTGTGTTTTCATGCGAAATCTGAAGTGACAAAAGGAGACCTGAACTCTTATCTGCAAGATGAAGCTAGTAAACTCACTGATGTTTTTTTTCCTTGTTGCTAGCATTTATCATTGGTTACAATTTCAGGCTGGTTTTCATTATTTAGAGAGTTTCTCCACCTGCTTCCACTCCCCTCTGGCCTTCTGACAGCTAATCTGGCAATTTTAACCTTCCAAAACTTTCCAAGGGGAAGGAAGACTGACCCTGACTGGAAGCATCTGGATCTCTGTGGGAGGAAAGAGCAACGATCAACACTTGGAAATTAAAATTGAGGCTTTACGCTCTTGAAAGTCACCTGTGGTAGGATCTGTTATTCTGCCCCTGTACTGAAGTTGCTTCTGGTGTTTTAATAAACTAACTGTACTTGTTATGGGTTTGACTGATAAATGTTTAACTTTTCTAGTCCGGTGCAGCAAGCGAGTTCTGGAAGGTAAAGCCTTGCTGCTTGGCCCCTGGTGAGGAGCACTGCTGAGCTTCCTCTCGGAGCCTTTTTTAAGTAATCCAGTTTGGCCGTGAGCGAACGCTGTGTCTGCTTGCATCCCCTCGCCAGGTGCTGTCGGACGAGGAGAAGAGGAAGCAGTACGATGCCTACGGTGAGGAGGGCTTGAAGGATGGGCACCAGAGCTCCCATGGAGACATCTTCTCACAGTAAGGAGATTTTGCCACTTCAGGCTGGTCTGTAGTTGGTGCTCTGATTTTTGTGATGTTCGTGCACACATTTGATGCAGGCAAATTCAGGGTTAAGGTGTTTTACCCAGTCAGGAGGCGCTGGTCTGAAGTGGCAGCTGAGAATTTGAAGAACCATGCTTACAGTGGATGTCGTGTGTGCGGTTTTCTGTTGTCTGTCTTGCTTTGGTCCTTCCTTCAAGAGCAGTGCAGAGGAACTGGTGGTGTCTTCCCACATGCACAGCTCATGGCAAGCTGCGTTGCCCAAGGGGGTGATTTGTAAGGTGCTGCAGCTGCATTAAACCTGTAGGATGTGTGATGTGGTGTGTGATTGGTGTTTAGCTTGTCTCAGATCAGGTGTGTGCTTTGGGGGTCACTTTTTCTTTTGCAGAGTGATGCTGCAGTGACTTCTACCACATTTCAGAGCAGCTGTGAAATTTGGATCATTACAATCTGAAGGCACTTGCATGTTGCTGTCACAGAATCTGATTTTCTGTTTAAGACCCCTTTGGTTCTGCTAGGCACAAGTTTACTAAAACAATTCCTGAAGTTGCTCATCTCATGGAATCCTTCTGGCTGAGAACTCGCACTGTCTGCTGGTCTGTTTTGAAGAAAAATATGCAGCCTTGATAGGAAGGTTTTTCTCATCCCGCTGAAAGCCAACTTTTAGCATGGATTTGCAGTGCCAGAGGTGGAGTAGGTGGAGTGCTACTCAGAGTTTGCACCTTGTGGTGATGGTAGCTGAGCAGCAGTGCTGTACGGAGAGGACTTGTAGTCAGATTTTGAGTCTTGGCATTGAACTCCTGCTCCAAAACTTGTTTTCTTTAGTACAGAAAACTCTTCCACAGTGACTGCTTTGTTTGAAGGCATTAGCTTGTGACATCTTGAGGAGCAAGAAGTTGTATCTGGATTTACTGTTGGGTTTTGTGCTCTAAGGAGGCTGTTCTGTAGGGGGTAGAAGCATTTGCCAAGCAGCGTGTTGCTGCAGCCTTGGGTGGTTCTCTTCATCTGCACCCTGTCAGATCAGAATTCCTTCCTGAACTAACTGATGTGCTTTACTCCAGCTTCTTTGGGGACTTTGGATTCATGTTTGGAGGTAACCCTCGCCAACAAGACAGGAACATTCCCCGAGGAAGTGACATCATCGTGGACCTGGAGGTTACACTGGAAGAGGTGTATTCAGGAAACTTTGTGGAAGTAAGTGTGACCACTTGCCTGTCGGTCTCTCCAGTGTGTTCTCGGGTCTGAGATGGCTGGCCTGGCTGCTGCTCAGCGTGAGATCTTCTTCCAAAGAAGAGAACTAAGATAGATGCTCATTTTCTGGGTATCCAGCAGTGATAGTGGAGGATGTTGTGGTGCTATTTCTCTATAAAGGGATGCTTCTTGTGATAATAGCTTATTTATTGGCTGTCAGTGACCAGCTGTAGCTTTTTTTTATTGTAGTAGCTCAGTTGGAAGAGGTGTAAGTGGTCTCTCTCTCTAGAATTTTGTGATACTTGAGGCCCATTCATAAGCCTCAAATTCATTTTGCAATTCTTGCAAAATCATGTTGGGGACTTTTCATAGCCTCTTGATATGGCCAAACATCTCACTGCATATTTCTGGGTTACATACTTGGCAAATATATAGTGGCCTTTTAATTTTTTTTTTTCTGTTAAGCAAGCTGATGATCCCTGCTGGGGTCTGCATGTTAGAATTTGTGTTGCTTGAGTCTGTGTTGTGAGTGTCTGGGAAAATGAGGAACTCCAAATAATTTTGCCCATTGTGTGGAACGAAGAAGCTGTTGTAACCAAAGATGTCAGATGTTCCATCCTAGTGTTACCTTTCCTATTTAGAAAGCGGTGCCAAAAAAAAGAAAGTGCTAGTAGTGGTGTCAGAGACAGGTTTTTCTGGTATTTTGATATTTAATGTGTGGTCAGCAAGAGGAGTAAGGTGAAAACTTACCAGTCATGTTTTGTCAAGATCATGTGGAGCTACTGTGGAGGCAGCAGAAAGTGCATTTCAATAAAACTATGTTCAAGCTGTTTGAGAAATCCAGACCCTTGTGGAGGCCCAGGGGTGCTGGCCTGTGTGCTGGTGTCAACCTCCTCCTCTCCCACACAGGTTGTCAGGAACAAGCCAGTGGCAAGACAGGCACCTGGCAAACGGAAATGCAATTGCCGGCAGGAGATGAGGACCACCCAGCTGGGTCCTGGGCGTTTCCAGATGACTCAAGAAGTTGTTTGTGATGAATGTCCAAATGTCAAGTGAGTTTTATGCTCTTTGTTTATTCAAAACCTGCCACTAGATGGAGGAAGGTGCCTGTACAACCTCGGGAATTTGGAAAAACTTAACAGAGGTTTCTCATTTCTAAGGAGCCAGTCTTTATTCTTACAGTAGAGATGAGCAGCTCTACTCGATGTAGAGCTCCCCAATTTGCTCTTTCAGCCTCTTATTCCTTGAACAATCAGTCGTGCTACAGTGGAAGTTCCACAACTAAATCTGAATAAACAAAGTAAGGGAAGCCCACAGTTTCCACCTGGGAACTGTTGGGCATGGAATACTGTGGTGCAGTCACAAATCCAGCTGCTGACTGTGCATTTCGGAGCTTAACTTTGCCTTCTCTATGAGACGAGCAGCAGCACTCACCCTTCAGTTTTAGATGTGAGCGAGGAGAAGAGTATGTGTTAACTTGTGGGGGTCTTATACCCCAGTAACACAAGCAGGTGCTACCACCTACTCTTGAAAACTTAGTGCTTGCCTCTTCTTCCCCCTCACAGGCTGGTGAATGAGGAGCGAACGCTGGAAGTGGAGATAGAGCCAGGCGTGAGGGATGGTATGGAATATCCCTTCATCGGCGAAGGTACGTGTGCGGGCACTGCCTTGCTGCTCAGCTTTGGTTGTGACCTTTTCCATGATGCAAGGCTGGTCTTCACAGCGGTGAAAGTGTCCAAGCCCTGGTTTTGGGTAACTGATCAGCACATATGGTTTTAAGTGCTGTGTCCTCTACATGCAGCTGAAATCCAGGAGTATACTCTTTGCTAAGTCTGGATAATGCTTTGAGTTCCGTGCCCTTTGTTGGTACTGGGGGCGCACACAAAAAAAAAAACCCTCTAAATCTGATGTTTCAGATAACTTTTGAGTAGGAGCATCTGTTCCAGGCTTGAGTATGTGAGGGAGTCCCCTCTGCCCAAGGAGATGAAGTCCTTCAACAAGTAAAGGACATCATTAACATGCAGGCAAGTCTTTCAGAACAGCAGAGAGGTATGAGCTCTCAAGGACCGAAGGCTCTTTAATAACAGATAGGTATAAGCAGGGTTTTAGTCATGTAAAGATGGACTGGTTGTGGTTTTCCTTTAACATGTCAGCTGCAAATCTCTATTGTGTTTAATATTCTGCTTGTTTCTTCAGTTGTTACTAACTAGCTCCTTTAAACAGAGCTTTTCTTTCTTTTTCGCAGGTGAACCCCATGTGGATGGGGAGCCAGGTGATTTGCGCTTCCGAATAAAAGTTCTTAAGTAAGTAACCGGCCTCGTTAGACCACTTGTTCTGGTTACTGTAAAGGAAGCTTGCAAGCAACTTTCTGGCCAGCGTGGCCTGCTGAGCTGGTGTGCAGCTCACCCTTCAGCTGAGCTGGTGCAGCTGGGAGTGCCCTACTCAGGGTGGTGTAGGATGTTCAACCCTGATGATGCTAGAGTAGCTGGATTCACCGCTGTTAAGATGCTGTGATAGTTCCATTTTTATTTCATTTGGCTTGTATTCTGGCATGCGTTAGTAGCTCCTGTGTGAATCACATGAAATATCTCCTTTTTTCCATAAATATACTATCTCCCTATTGTAAGGAAATGCACTACAAAGAAAATTGTTGTGTGAGTCACAACTTCTTGCCACGCCTCGCCACTCATTGCCCTAGAAATAGAAAGGTTATTAGTAGCACTTATCTCGCACAGGAAAATGAAGCTAAATTTCATTCATTCTTCACTTCCTCTCCAACTTGTGAATTCTCCAAACCCACAAATAGATGGGAGGAAGCTAGAGAACCTATTTCCCCTATGGGGAAGGAGAAAAGTTCCAATGTCTCTTATTTCCCCAGGCATCCAGTCTTTGAAAGAAGAGGAGATGACTTGTATACAAACGTGACAATCTCGCTGGTCGAGGCACTTACAGGCTTTGAAATGGATATTGCCCACTTAGATGGGCACAAGGTGAGGCAATGGTTTGCTTTCTTGCTGTGTGCCAACAAAGTTTAACTGCAGGTCTCCTGTGCTGAGGGTGAGCTTGCACGGGGCCTGTGCAGCTGCTGGTTGTGTACGGTTTCCCCTCTGCTAGAGCCTTCCAGACCAATTCCCATGGAGCCAAAAGTATGGGTCTGGGTTCAGGGCAGTTATTGCTGTACTGTCTTGGCTGTTGTTAATTCTGGATCGTGTGCTGGCAGTAATGCTGCCTGGACCCCCTGAATGTCACTGTCTGTGGCAAGGAATTGATATAAGTTGAAGCTTTCCAGTGGGTTGGAAAGGGTGTTTGGGGTATTGGGGTACACGCACAGAACACTAGTAATGTTCTGAAATTTCTTTTGTCTCTAGGTGCACGTTGCTCGGGATAAAATTACGAAACCTGGGGCCAAACTGTGGAAGAAAGGAGAGGGTCTTCCAAATTTTGATAACAATAATATCAAAGGCTCACTAATAATAACATTTGATGTGGAGTTCCCCAAAGAGCAACTGACAAACGAACAGCGGGAAGGTGTGTATTTTAAAGCTCTGTTGTGGCAGCGGGCTGCACGGAGCTCTCACCAAAGCTGTTAAGAAGTTGGCACAACTGAACCAGTGGCTGGAGCGGTCAGGAGGGGCTCTCCTCTCCCTGTGCCCCTGGTCCAATGCAACACTGTTGGCCCATGCCCTGTGATTAACTTCCGTTTCCCTTTGAAGCGAGCGAGCGTAGCTGCTGCAGTTGTAGGGAACCAGATTAGGTTGGGCCGTAGCACTTGGCAGGTTTGCAGGTGCTTTGTTTTGTAGCTGGCCATCTGTCTGAACCGAAAAACATACTGGGCTTAGCCTCTGTCTGCTTTGCCTTTGCTGGAATGGGATCACAAGCGGTTTTCCAGCCTCAGCTTCCACTTTCTTGGAGGCAAGACTTGTGAAAAATCCCTCTGTTGTCAAGGGTAAAGAATGTCACACAGCATCAGGAGAAGGATTGTTCCTCTCTGTCTCCTTCTACCCTAAATGCTTTGTGTGTGTGTAGGCCAGAAGGGTGCAATGCAGATATTTCGTAGGAGAGATCTGCTTCTCAGCTTCAGTGCTCAAATGGAGACTTGATGAACTATGTAGAAATCCTGAAATTGACGGGAGGGTAAACATGCACAGGCCAGGTATTTTCCACACCTACCTGGAAATTTCTCTGCTTCTGCAGTGGCTTCTGCTGCTCTGCACAAGGCATCAGAGCAGGCACCAAGGGCCCCATCCTCTGCTGCAGGGCAGAGAAGTTCCTGGCACGTACCAGTGCAGCTCTTCAGAAAATCCCCATTCCCAGAACTGCTTCCAGCTATTCAGGGCTATCATAGTTTCTTCTTCTGAAGGTGCCCTTTTAGTGGATTCTGGCAGCTGTCCTGGTAAAATGAGGCAAACACACAGCTTTCCCGAACCCCTCAAGATTGCAGAGGGGAAGCCAAGCCCTGGGTGGGCTTTTCTCAGCCCCGCAGCACTTAACTGCTGTGTTGGTGACACTGGAGCCCAGCTGGGAGCCGTAGCACCAGGATTAACTGATGTTTTGTGGCTCTTTCCACAGCTGGTTGGGCTGTGAGGTCTGTGCCTCCGGGATGTGCTCTGAGTGAACCTGTTTTGTGTTTCAACCCCTGTGTTTTCCTGTGTGTTGCAAGTGCAGTGTGCCCAGGGAGGGCTGTGGAGCACAGTGACCACTCTGCTGCCCTTCTTGAAGCTTTGTAAAGCGACAGCACCTCTCAAACAGGTGTGAGATTATTCCAGCTGTTGCTCTTGGAAGTTTTTAGAAGAGACCAGGGGCAAGGAGCAGCAACAGAGGTCTCCGCATTTGTCAGAATTGCTCACCCACCTTTATGGATGTCCCAGGAACAGAGAGGTGATGGTACTGGCATGGTCAGGCACGGTGTCTTTGGGTGTTTCGCTCCCTCCTAAAGCAATTCCAGGCTTCCCTGGGGAAGGTGACTGGGTAGGCAGTCAGATGCATTTTTTTGTGAGCTGGAAATCTCCAAACATCCAGTGATTTAAGGGAGTTTTAGGAGAGAATATGTCTGTTCATGTTGTGTGGCAGCAGTTCAGTGTACACATTCAAAGGAAGACTGTAGGCTTCAGAATTCAAAACATCCCCTTTTTCTTATTGTTGGCAGTGGTCCTAATTTCTTATCTCGTAACCATATGTACAGCTCCTGGGGCAGTCAGGAGATAACTGACTCTGAGAGCACCACTCTGGGCAGTCTAAACTTTAGAGTCAGAGAAATAATCTGCTTTCTTTCCTGCCAGGGTGACATCAGGGAATTTATTGCCTTTTGATCAGAGGGGACTTTCTCTTTGACGTGTCAGTAGAGAAGAAACAGAGATACTTGTTTGTTGTGTGTTTTGTAACTTTGGATTCCACGTTTAACTCTGGAGTGGTCGGAGAGCAGCAGCAGGCAGCAGAGTGCCCAGGTTGTGTTGTAACCTGTCACCTGGTGGTGGTGTTGGGGAAAAAAATCTCAAAGTTGGCTCTAGGAAAAAACGCCTAAGGTGCAGTAGCACCAAATGTCAGGATTCCTGGCTGGAATTCCTGATTGAACATCAGATATGTGTTGAAATATCCTGTGCAGTAATGAGGGTATCCTTCAGGCCAGCAGGCAGCTGCCTAGAGCTAGCTAGCAGGAAACGAGGTACGGGAATGGAGCTAATCCCACTTATTTCCAGGGTTACTGGAGCACACCTTTCTCCACCTATGTCCTTCCTTCCAAAGAACCACACATTCAGGAGGCACATCCTCATACCCACCAGCCAGGAAGTGACTTGGAGCCTCCTTTGGCTGCGGAGGGGAAGTGAACTTGCCTTGCACTCCCCTGGAGAGTGACCTGTCCCTAATAATTAGCTCCTGCAGAGGGGCTGGCTTGGCCCTGCTGTTAAGGCTGGTTCTGAATGCAGGAAAGAGTTCAGGATTCTCTAGCCAGCAAGAAGCACAAGTAGCTCTTGCCTGGCAGAGAGCTGTCTCTGTTCCAGTGAATACTTCCAGGACAGCTTTCCAGTATTTTAACAGAGCTACTGTGGAATTGCTGGTCTTACAGGACAGTAGTATTTGTAGCCAGAATTATTTAAGGGCAGACAAACAGGCCAAGGTTTGCAGGGAGGCATACTCTCTTTTAGCTGCATTTCCCAAAGAAGGACTTGCATGCTTGAAAGCTTGTGGGTTTTTTTCTGTACAAGTAGATGGTCTGATTTAATTAGTGATCCTCCCTCTCCGTGCCTGTGTACCTCACTTAAAGTTACCAACTGCGATGGTATTTCCTAGGCAGCCCCATCCGCCCTGTTGTACAAACATGGACAGGATGACACTGTGACTCTGGCTTCAGTGGAGCAGCGGAACGAGCTGATCCGAGGCAGGACTGCGATCCTGGCTTCAGTCATGTTGAGGTGCAAGCCAGCTGCCTGTGTGCTTTGTTGCAAGACTGATGCTGTTTTGGGGACATCCAACAGCAGAGTTATAGCAGTTTAGCTTAATTTTTCTATTATTTGGAAGTTATCTGTAATGTGGGGAGTTTCCCTCTCTTTTTTGGGCCTGGACAGCCCCTGCTGAGACTCGATGGTTTCTGGTGTGGTCAGAGCAGAGGTGCTGCCGTGGCCAGGGCAGTGGGAGTCCTGACGCTGTGTCACCAGGCTGACTTTAAAGAGGGAGTCCCCTCTGATTATCTCTGGAAAAACAGTGTGACACATCCCTTCTTGCCAGCCTGATTCCTCCACTTGGTGTGGACTTGCCCTTTCAGTAGCAGCAAAGCCCTGCCAGCCTTTCCTTGAGCGTGCTGACCCCAGTAGATGAGCTATTACGGTTTTTAGAGATGACTCACTCTGCTCTTATCCTGCTCTGGTAAGAATTTGATGCTGACAGGACCTTGGAACAGTCAGTTCTTTGAAATGTTTTATGAATGGGCTTTCAGGGCTGGGGAAGATGGGATTTGAAAAGTCACCTCGACTCCTTTGCAAAACAGTGGGTTTCAAAAAAACTTGAGATTTTCAGGCCTTCAATAGGGTACTTAAACCCACAGATAACGAGTTTGCTTCTCTTACTTGCCTTCAGGGACTGCTTCTAGTGAACAGCAGTGTGAAAACCTCTGCTTTCTAATCACACACGTGGGTTTCTGCAGCTGGCAAGTCCAGGAGGACTCAAAGGGAGTGCTTCTACCAGCAGAATTCTCTTGGGCTGTAAAAGGAGCCTGGGGAGATGAGCCTGACTCTGGAAATACTCAGAAAGCTTTTTGTTGTTGCAGTTTTAATTAAGATGAGAAAATTGTTCTCAACATCAACAGCAGAGCAGCTCTGGGAGTTGGCTTCATCTTTTGCAGGGCTGTGAGGATCTCGAGGTGGTGCTCTGGGCTTTGAGTTTGTAGCAGAGCAGACTTTCTCCCTGCATCCACTGGCCTTGTGTGGTCCTGAGAGTGCATGAAAGCACTGGTACGGGATCACTAACCTTGGCCCTGTTTCTCCTTTTGAGAATGCTGAAGGAGCATGAGAAAAGCTGCTGCACCTCTGGGTTTGGAGGGATTTTTCCTTTTTTTTTTTTTTTTTTTGTGATGCTCTCAGAGTACCAGTGTTTGCATTATTTGGATTAAGTGGGCTCAGCCTTCAGTGCCACAGCATCTCTGAGCCAGATGTGTGACAGCAGCAGCCCTCCTCCTGTTTGTGCCGTGCAGTAACACTTTCCTTTCTCTTGCAGGTCTCAAGCAGTTGTTGAAACAAGGATCAGTGCAGAAGGTGTACAACGGATTGCAGGGATATTGATGTGGTGGAAAAATTGGACTTAAATGAAAAGTCAGATTTGTTTGCAGTCTTTTCTCCTGCCTGCTGTGGAATGGAAAAGGGGGGTGGGGGGGACAATTGTTGAGGTATATATAATTTTTTTCTTTGTAAATTGTGGAAGTGCTCAGATGACTTAGGGGAAATATTACACTTTTCAGGATGTAATTGGTGCTGCCTATCATGTTCCGTGTCCTGGAACAACAAAGACTCCTTGAACAGAAAAAAAAAAGTGGGGGAAAGGAGTTTTAAATTCCACACAGATTGGAATTTATGGTTTTTAAATATATTTTGATGTGACTTTTCTTGACCATCTCAACATATTTTTCATAGCTTCTCCTGCTTTTTATGTCCTTTGTGTCAGTCTCTTCCCAGTTTCTGTTGGTTTGGTTGTTTTAATCCCAGCCCTTCCTCCCTTTCCCCTCTTGAGTCCAGAGTTGTGATATTTCTTCAGAGTCTGTTTCTGGGGCAGGAGTATGGGTGCAGTTGGGAGTGGACTGGCAGGAGAGCCTTTATGGGCTATGTTGGGCCCCATGTATGAGTGGGAAAGAAGGGGAAAAGAGTCTCTTAAGGCTCTTGTGGACTCTTAACTACCAAGTAGTCCCCTTGTCCCAAAGGTTAATGCTTGGTTTTAAATTTGAAGTCACAACAGCTTAGCAAAGACTCAGACTTTCACAGTGGGATTTTGGAAAATAATGGGAGCGGCTCCTCATGGTCTTAGTTCTTCTTTGTTGCCCCCAAATGTAACCAACAGCTTGTCTGTAAAAGTTCACTTACCTCCTGCGCTCTGTCCTCCGTGAGGATGGGTGAAGCTAACAGCACAGAAATAAAGATGTTTGAGCTGGAATGGCACAAGTGACCTGGTTGTGTTTTCAGCAGCCCTCACCCTGGGACAGCTGCGAGTTGTTGGACTGACAAGGACTGGTCCCTTCAGCCGTGGAAGCAGTGAGCTGCTGGAAAGGGTGAACCTACAGCTGCTCGTAGCAGCAAAAGCTCTTGTAGCAGCTTGCTTTGAATGGAGGGTCTGGGGATGTGGCAGGGAGGTGCCTGTGCTGCTCTGGTCTCTGTGCTGAGGACCCTGCTGCTTTCAGCATCCCCATCAGAGACTCTCATCTCCACGGGTTCTCCAGGAGCAGTAGCTAAACAGTTTCTCAGAGGTGCTCATGTCAGACTTGTGCTTCACCTGCTCCCATAGGCAGCAGGAGAAATGAGTCGGTTTTTAGTGTCGGACAATGTTCTCCTCCTTCCCGCTGGGTTCTTGGGGGCTCTAAAGTGGGATCCTTACAGCTGCTGCCTTACACCTCATCCTCTGCCCACAAAGCGATGGGATCTGATTTTTCTATGTGGAAATGTTTGCTGGGGAGCAGCAGTGGGAAACTCAAAGTAGTTTGTTTTGTTGCTTGTTTTTCTTCATTTGTCAACTTTAAGCAGCTCTGATCTGAGCTCGGAGAGGGGGAGAGCAGCTCTGGCCCGGCCCTTGTGTGCTGCCCTTGGTCTGGCGATGTCCCACCCAACCCTGAGCTCCGGCGGGAGCTGACGCAGTGGAAGCAGCAGCACCGGGAAGGTTTCCTGTTGGATCCTTTGTACGCTTGCCTTGGCAGAGCAAAGCCAGGGCTACAGGAACAGCTGAGAGAGGGGATGGGACAAACCTGGGATGCCAAACTCTTCATCTCAGTGCTCACCTTCCTCCAAATCCTTAAGCACAAGCCTTGCTGCCAGCTGCGGTTGCTGCCTGGAGTGCCTGCCCATTTGATGACCGGCTCTTTCCCGGCATCGGTGGGCATCTCTGCCTCCACTTCCCCCCTTAGTTTAGATTCCTGAACCCTCAGGTTCCAAAGAAACTGCTTCTGCTATCCCTGTGCACAGGGCTGTTTCCTGTTCTCTCAGCCCCTCGAGGGTCTGTCTGATCATTGCCTCTCTGCCTTCCTGTTCCGCCAGGCTGCCAGCGCTCGCCTGGAGCAATAAAGCCCCAAAGCCAAGACTTTGCACCAAAGTCTGGCCCTCCTCCCAGCAGAAGGTGGTGCAGCCTTTCCTCCCTGCCCCCCTAGCAGCAGGCAGGGCATTTATTTCAGACCTGAGTACTTGTTCCTGCTGCTCCTTTTCCTTTCTCTGCTCATTGTTCCCCTTCCTTTGGTGGTTTTGGTGGTTTTTTTCCTTTGTAGGTACTCACTCCTCCGAGAGGCCAGTGCTGTGTACAGCAACAATAGCTGCAAAGCTCCAGCTTTTACAACGGTGAGAAAAACAGAAAAGCAAGCCCCAAATCCTACAAGGCAACCCAGCTTCCTTCCCTCTTCCTTCCCCCCCGCTGTGGGGTGTGCGCAGAGCAGCCGCCGCCTTTCCCCCCTTCAGACAGGGTTTCCACGTGTTCTCCGCAGGCAGCAGCGTGCGCTGGTGCTTGCCGGGGTCAAACATTTCCATTCGTTTGGATTTTTGGTCTGCTTGCCTGAGGAATGCTGTGCAGCTTCTAGGATCTGCGGGGAGGGATTTGTCCTCCGAGGGCCCCAGGGTGTCTGGCCGGGGGATGTGGAAGCTGTTTGGTGCCTGGGACATCCTGTGTCCCCTGTTTCAGTGACGCTGAGCTGGTGTGAGTGAGTCATGGCACATGTGGGCTCCTTTATCTCATCTAAGTGCTTCTTAGGCTTAGGTGTTCTCAGTGCCGCTGCTTCTTGGTTGGGGACCAAGCTAACAGCGCGAAGGTGCACAGCTCCGAGCCAGGGATCCTGTAACGCACAGCCTGAATTTCCAGAACACAACGCTTCCCAGATTGGATCAAATCCATTTCTTGGTCCCCTTTTACCCTAAATCCTGGCACAAGTCAAGGATGGTTGAGGGTTTCGATACAGGCGTGTTGCTCGACTCTTCCAGCAGCACACTTGTCCTCGACACATGTTTCTGGAAGTCCTCGCTGGATGTTTAGACAAGTGCGCGGTCCTTGGGATTTATTTCTGAAGTGAAGGGTTTTGATCAGCTCCAGAAGCTCTCCGTGTTCCTCCGGAGCGTCACCCCTGCCTGGCGATCTCATCGCCTCCGTCAGCGCGATGGTACCACCCTCGGGCTGGATCCTGCCCGGCCCCGGTGAGGTGGGGAGCAGATGGGGTGGGGGCTCCATGGCAGGTAGGTGATGGAGGGAAAACAGGGTTCAGATCTGCTGTTCCCCAAAGCATCGTGCCCGAGCAGCCTTGTCCGCCTCTCCTCCCCCTCCCCAGTCTGGGCTTGCTCCCCCTAAAGCCACGTTGCCCATCCCAGAGCAGTTGTTGGAGTTTTGGGGCTGCACGCAGGAGCTTCAGCATGGGGTACACGGGTCCTGGGAGCAGCCTGGCCCCAGGGGTGGGTTGTTCCCCACGGGTTCGGTCGTGCCGAGGGCCACTGCTGTCCTATTTGTCCCCACAGCAAGTGGCACTGCTTGCGCAGAGCATCCCCGAGCCCGGGCAGGGGGTGGGAGTGTCCCCAAAAAGCAGTGTCTTCTCCAGGGAAACTTCTCTGCAAGTCCAGGGCAGGTGGGCTCAGTTTGGCTGTTTTGGTTTTAGGGTTTGTTGGGGTTTTTTTTGGTTGGTTGGTTTTGTGGTTTGGTTTGGGTGTGTTGTTTTTTTTCCCCAAAGAGCTTGTCCTTTTAAAATACTTCTCTATATCTAAACTTTTCTGAGAGATAAGAAAAGTGGGGATAGGAAGGGTGACGTGACAGCGCTGGGAGAAGATTCCTCTCCCAAAGGCACGTTTGCGATGATCCCGAATCTGGGTGGCTGAAGCCCGCGGCACTGGGGACCTGGCAGGGAAAGTGAAACAATTCCTCGCTGGAGTCTTTAACGTGGGATTTGGCTGGCAGCCCCCGCTCTGCGCCCATGCCCCCAGTGTCACAGGAGCAGCAGTGTCACACCTCTCAAGGCAGGGCTCAGCCCCCAGGGAGGGGACAGCCTGGGAGGTGTGGTGGCACTGGTGGCATCCTGCTGCTCAGAAGCTTCCCTTCATCCCGGCTGCCCCGTCACCCTGCTCGGTGTTGCCGGTGGCCAGCAGCCAGCTTTCTCCTCCTGTTTCCTCCTGCTTGGTCCAGCGCTGACCCAGGAGGTGAGCGGGAAGGGAAGAGGGCAGCGATGGGTCCTGGGCACCCGCACGCCCTGCGAGGAGGGACGTGCCAGCACAGCCCTTTCCTCTGCTCTTAAATATTTCCAGGGACCTGCCCCTGCTTGTGTGGGAGCAGGAGGTTGCTAGAAAGTGGTTCTTGAACCAGCCCAACAGCAATCACCCCCAAAATTCTGTTGCCCAAAAAAAAGCATCCCTTCTTTGGGGAGGGCTGGCGAAGTCCCCTCACCCCAGTGCAGGCCCCTGGGTTAAAAAGGATGTTGGAAATCAGGCCAGAAACACAAATGTGGGGCTGTGACAACGTCACCTCTTGGGGAGTTCAAGAAAAATGACACTTGAGTCCAGAAACCAGTGCCGGCACTGAGCGCCTCAAGGGTCTTTACAAGACCCCTTCTTCCTTCCATGCTTCGATCTGCTGCTCCCCACCACTGACACCATTTTTTTCCCCAGCTCCTGCCTTCCCCCCGCAGCCCCGGGAGCCCATCGCTGTGTTTCTGGGTGCAGAGCCGGCGCTGGTGAAGCTGTGCGGACA